GGGCAGTGTCACTGGCCCTCATATGTGGGATCCGAACTGGGGCCCTCTGGCATCCCAAGCGAGTTCTTAACCATCGCGCCACTCGGCCGGCCCTTTCACACCTTTTTTATTTGTTCACTTATTTGAATTACCTGCATCAATAAAATCCTAAGCATACAATGAAATGGGATGTTGTCTAAAGATCTGCGATTCAAATTAGAATTACATATAGTTGGAGGATTTATCTCACTTGGGGTAGTTTAGGTAATATTAGTCTAATCTGAAATTATCATGTTGTAATACTTATATGACTACAGGCATTAGATCCTTGACCAAAGAGAAAATTGTGTTGGTGGAGTTATTCCTAAGTGATACTAAAAGGTTTGAGGATTCAGTGAGAACACAGACTTGGAAGTCATAAAAGGTCATTCTGGCTGGGTGGCCCCATGTCCATATCAACCTCAGAATGTGCTTTCTCCCTACTCCTATTAAGTACATTTCCTCACCAATTGTAATGCCCCAATTCTCCATTTCAGATCACATAGCTTCTGTCTTTCCTGTCCATACCCTGCCCACTGTTTACTCTGGAACATGAGGGTCATTAAGAAAAACATTGTTTGTGCTATTAATAAGTGCTTCTCAAACTTTAATGTGCACTAGGTGGGGTGTCTTGTTAAAATGCAGATTCTGATGCAGTAGGTTGGAGGTTGAACCTGAGTGTCTGCATTTCTTTCTAGCTTCCAGATGCTGCTGGTCTACAAACCATATTTTGAGTAGCAACACCATAAACCACCCTGGAACTACAGCAGGGATTCCCAAACTTGTCTGCAAATTAATATCATCTCGGGATATTTTATAAATTCCAAAGCTTAGGTCACACCTCATATCAATTAAATCATGATCTATGGGGTTGGGATACAGGTATTTACAGAATCTCTGTGGGGGATTCCAATGTGCAGATAAGTTTAGTCACCATTGGCCTATATGAAGATACTCAAAAAATATACATTGAATAGGTTCACATTTGCCAGCTACTAAATGAGGAGTTGCCTAAATGGAAGGAATAAATAATTTAGCTCTCTGCCGACATTTAACAAATGTTTGTTTTTTCAACTGTTTTGGAAGTGACTAATTCATTCACTCTTAGAATGTTGAAGCTAGAAGGACCACCAAAAATAATCCACTCTAACCCTCTCATTTTGCAGAGAAGGAAACTGAGGCTCTGAGAATGACTTGTTCTAGGTCACACTGGAAACCAGTGGTTGAGCCAGGGCTAGAATAATTGATTTCCAATCCCATACTCTTTCAACCCCAGTACTATGAACTATATTTTTATCTAACTCATGTGTCAAAACCACCATTTAAAGAATTAATTTGCCCTTCATGCTGTGGCCTGCAGTGGGTCCCCTCCCAGGAGGCCCTGGGGCTGACATACCCAGTGGCCAGCTTCAGACCTGGCTGCCTCCAAAGACAACACACCCAAAGGGTAGACTGGGCAGTCACCAGAGCCCTGTTAAAGTGAATCCTGCTCTGTATAGTCAGCCACTGCACCACAATTCCGCTACTATAGCTATGGCCAGTCCTCACAACCAATTAACCCAACGGTCACTCCCTCCCATTGATGAGCAAACAGCAATCAAGGCTCTAGTACAACAGGAGAATACACACACAACACACACAAGGGGCACACCTGGAGCACCCAGCTCAGGTGACCAGAGAGACTGCGCCACTGGGCCCCACAGCACACCTACTACATAAGGCCATCCTAACAAGACCCGGAGACACAGCAGCCTTACCTAATACATAGAATCAAACACAGGGAGGCAACCAAATGGGAAGACAAAGAAACATTGTCCCAAATGAAAGAACAGAACAAAGCTCCAGAAAAAGAATTGAACAAATTAGAGACAAACAATCTATCAGACACAGAGTTCAAAACACTGGTTATAAGGATGCTAAAAGATCTCAGGAAGAACTTCAACAAAGAACAGGAAACATAAAAATGGAGATAGAAAACAGATAAAGGAACAAATCATAAATAAAAAATACAATAACTGAAATAAAGAATAAAGCAGAGGGAATCAACAGATTAGATGAAGCAGAGGATTGAATCAATGATTTAGAAGATAAGGTAGTAGGAAATACCCAATTGGAACAGCAAAAAGAAAAGAGAAGCCAAAAAAAAGAGGATGGTTTAAGGGCACTCTGCGACAACATCAAGCATACCAACATTCAAATCATAGGGGTACCAGAAAGAGAAGAGAGAGAGCAACAAATTGAAAACCTATTTGAAGTAATGATGGAAAACTTCCCTAACCTGGAGAAGGAAACAGACATACAAGCCCAGGAAGCTCAGGGAGTCCCAAACAAGATGAACTCAAAGAGGCCAACACCAAGACATGTCATAATTAAAATGCCAATGCTTAAAGACAAAGAGGGAATCTTAAAAGCAGCAAAAGAAAAGCAGTTAGTTACCTACAAGGGAGCTGCTGTAAGACTGGCAGCTGATTCCTCAACAGAAACTTTACAGGCCAGAAGGGATTGGCACAAAATATTGAAAGCGATGTAAAGCAAGGACCTACAACCAAGATTACTCTACCAGCAAAGCCATCATTTAAAATTGAGGGACAGATAAAGAGATTCCCAGATATGAAAAAGCTAAAGAAGTTCATCACCACAAAACCAGTATTCCAAGAAATGTAAGAGGGACTTCTTTAAGATGAAAAAACAAAAGACAAAAATATGAAAAACAAAATAACTACATATCTATCAACAATTACTTTAAATGTGAATGGATCAAATGCTCCAATCAAAATACATAAGGTGGGGCCTGCCGAGTGGCATGATGGTTAAGTACTGGCTTGGGACGCCAGAGGACCCTGGTTCGGATCCCACATATGATGCCCAGTGACACTGCCCTCTACAGCTAAGATGCTCAACAACAGCTCGACCTGGAGCTGGGCTGCCGTGGGTCACCGGCGACGGCGTGGGCTGCAGTCCCCTGCTGCAGTGGGCTGCCATAAGCTTCTGTGTGTAGCCAGCAGCCAGCATGAGTGGCCAGCAGCCGCAGTGAGCGGCCATCCAGAAGCCGGCAACTAATCTGCCTCGCCCAGGAAGAGCGCAATGATGGTGCCAGCTTGGGCCAGTGAAGCAACGTCCTCCACAACTAGACTGAAGAACAAAATGACAGCAACTTGTCTGTTCCCCTTCCCCCAATTCCCCAATAAAAAAAAAAAGACATAAGGTGGCTGAATGGGTAAGAAAACAAGACACATACATTTGCTGCTTACAAGAGACCTGCTTCAGGTTTAAAGGCACATACAAACTGAAAGTAAAGGAATAGAAAATGGTGTTTCATGAAAATGGAACCAGAAAAATAGCTGGGGTAGCAATACTTACACCAGACAAAATAGACTTTAAAACAACTGCTATAGCAAGAGACAACATGACCCAGTAATCCCACTTCTGGGTACTTATCTGAAGAAACCCAAAACACTGCTTCAAGGGGATGTGTGCATCTATATGTTCATTGCATCATTGTTTACAATGGCCAAGATGTGGAGGCAGCCTGGGTGTCTGTTGATGGATGAGTGATTAGAGTAGGTGGTAGATATATACAATGGAATATTGCTTGGCCAAGGAAGGGAATGAATTCTCACCATTTGCGGCGGCATGGATGGACCTGGAGGGTATTGTGCTGAATGAAGCATATCAGACAGAGAGAGACAGATGTAATGTGATTTCGCTTATATGTGGAATCTAAAGAACAAAATAAACAAATAAAACAGAAACAAACACATATATACAGCAAACACTTTGTTGGTTGCCAGACTGGAGGGGTTTTGGGGTGGGTGAAAAAGAGAAGGTGTTAAGAAGTACAAATTGGTTGTTACAAAGTAGTCATGGGGAGGTAGGGCATAGCATAAGAAATATAGTCAATAATATTTTAATAACTATGTATGATGTAAGAAGGGCTGGGTGAAAAAGGGGAAGGGATTAAGAAATACAAATTGGTAGTTACAAAATAGTCATAGAGATGTAAAGTAAAGCATAGGGAATATGGTCAATAATATGGTAATAACTATGTATAGTGCAAGATGGGTACTAGACTAGTCAAGGAGATAACTTCTTAAATTATATAAATGTCTAACTACTATGCTGTACACCTGAAATTAATATAAAATAATATTGAATGCCAACTGTAACTGAAAAATTAAACAAGCGGGAAAAAGGAGAAGGGGAATAAGAGTTTCACATTTCCAGTTATAAAACAAATGAGTCTTGGGGATGTAATATACAGCATAGGAATATAGTCAATAATATTATGGTAGTGTGGTATGGTGTCAGATGGCTGCTGGACTTATCATGGTGATCACTTCTTTAGGAATATAAATGTTAAATAACTATGGTGTACACCTGAAACTAATGTAATACTGTATAATACCTCTATTTTAATAAAAATCTTAAAAATAATAAATAATTTTCCTTTTAATCAGTTAATATTTTCTACTGGCCTGGAAAACACAATGGGCAAGAAGTGACCTGGGTTCTAGGCCTTGGTTTTATTTTCTCTCTATGTGACTCTGGGGAAAACACTACTTTATACACCTCAGTTTTCTCATCTTAAATAAAGAAATATCACGATAGGATTTTAGTCTTGGAAGGGAGCTTGGAGATCAACTATTCCGAAATTTTCACTGTATATAGATGAGTCTAATGAGGTTCAGAGCATATTTGGAACATTTTCAAGGTCACACAGCAACTTAAATTAGGACCAGTACCCACTCTCCTTCCACTGTATCTCATCTGTCTCTCGTCTTAAGCTCAAAAATGTACTGGATGTGACTGTGCTTTGATGAGTTAAATAGTGATAGAAATGAAAGGCACTACTGTTCTTCCTAATCATCATTATAAGCTAATTTATCTACTATTTATAAAACCAAGGCTTAAGTTTGGCACTTAGGTCTACATTGGATCAAAGGTATGGTTGACACGAGCAAATCCCCAGTCTGTTTCTTAGTAGTAAATTTCTTCCAAGCTATCATCTTACTAGCCCTTCAATAGAGGAGAAAATGAAGTTCATTATTAGTAGAACTATTGGGTTGTAGGAAATGTCATGACGCATTTTTGCAATGAAAAACACAAAAAATACGTCATGACTTTTCCTACAGCCCAATATTATCATTACAGTGATACTGCAGGTTGATTATGTTTCTCATGCTCAAACAACACTGAGAATGACTAAGTGGGGATCTCAGTCAATCAAAGGCAGGGCTTCCAACCAACGCACCTTTTGCCTTTTTACCTGGACACACCTTGCAGCACTTTCCATCTATTTTTTGAGGATACTTGCAGGGGTATCGGTTGGGGCAATGGATTTTCTTACACTCTTGTTTGGTGACATTACAAGTGCACAGCACACACTCCACAATGCCAAATGCCCGGAGATTTGGGTGCCAGGACTCGCCATGGGAATAGGTCTTTCCATTGGAAACACACACTGTAAGAGAACACATGATTGGAAATTAAAGTCTAGAAAGTTGAAAGGGAACGCCGTACTCAGACCCCAAGACTCTAACCCCTTAAGACAGCGGTTCTCAACCTTCCTAATGCTGCGACCCCTTAATACAGTTCCTCATGTTGTGGTGACCCCCAACCATAAAATTATTTTTGTTGCTACTCTGTAACTGTAATTTTGCTACTGTTATGAATTGTAATGTAAATATCTTTTTGTTTTCCGATGGTTTTAGGCGACCCCTGTGAAAGGGTCGTTCGACCCCCAAGGGGGTCCTGACCCACAGGTTGAGAATCGCTCCTTAAGACATCAAACATCCTTTGCTCTTTACATGACCATGGAGATACAGTGACAGAGCAGCCTCTTCTAACCGAAAACACAGCTTGGGCCTTGTTCTACCATCAACAACTATTCAGGTTTTTCAGCCATGGCCTCTGAATGTTCACAAGTGCCTGGCAGTCAATAGTTTTTTAAGTGCAAAAATGAATAAATGCATGAAAGCAGAGTTCTATCTGGAGTATCTGATAAAGAACACCTAGTACAGGGGTCGGCAAACTTTTGAGACGCAAGAGCTGCCAGGGATCAGCAAACTGTGGCTTGCGAACTGTGGCTCTGAAGTAAAATTGAAAATGAAAATAAAACTATCATAGTTTCATTTATAAAAATTTAAAGGATATTATTCACATAATGGTGATTATGTAAAAATATACTTATGGCTTTCAAATAATTTTTAAGTTGTTATGAGGGGCAGGATTGGTGCTTCCAGGGGTTGGCAAACTTTTGAGATGGAACATACCCAAAGAGCTGCATGTGGCTCGTGAGCCGCAGTTTGCCGACCCCTGCTCTAGTAGAACATAGTGTTAACTCCTGCAGTTCCATAGAGGATTTATATGGCCCAAGTATATGTGCTTCTTGGCATGATAATTTCCCAGAGATTTCCCACCCAGGGAGGCTAGATGTGAAAACTATTGCTCTTTCCAAAGGGCCAATTTTTTTCCAGATCCTGAAGCAAATCCATTCAGAATGTCAAATGCTGTGAGAGTCTGATTCACAACACAGATGGTTATGGAGCTTGATGGTACTGGCCTACTCTCTGGTATGGGAAGGAAGGTGCTCAGACAAAATTGAAAGAAAGAGAACCCAGACTACCCCAGTAAGTAGTGAAAGGTAGCCTTTTTGTCACTAATCTTCAGGCAGTGTCTTCTGTCCCCCACCTCATAGTGGCTGTCGAGATTTGACTACAGCGAACCACTGCCTGTCCGACAGATATCCTTTGGTGATCTCATATTTGTTGAGTGGGAAGTGAGGTCTGGCTCCGTGTTTTTTGAGGGTCCTTGCAAGAGCAAGCATCTGTGCTGCAGGTTGAGGGGCTATGAAGGGAAGGGGCCACAGGAACACCCTTCAGTGCAAATCAACCAAAACAAATCCAGCTCCTACTGTAAGGCACAGAGCTAGGCTCCAGGATGAGAACTGCACAGGGCTGCAAAGGAGGGAGGTCTGTGAATGAGTTGTCTCCCTTTTTGAAAATTCTCAGACATTCTGGAGAGTTCAAGCCACAACTGGGACTGGGTGTGTATCTCATTATTCCTATCACCTCACCACACCAATCAACAACATCTTTAGGGTAAGCTGTATCACTTAAGGTGGAGCTAGGATGGGAGAAATAGCCCCACATGGGGCGTTTCAAGGAATTGATTGATTTGGCTGCAAGACAGTGGCTTCAGAAGGATGAATCATTGAGCTATTTGTTTTTTGTCATATCCATTGGTTCACATTAGGAAATATGGATGATGTTGGCTACCTTTTCCTGTTCTTTGCAAGAGCTTCTAGAGTACTAGGTACTCTAACAGGTCAATCTATGTAAATATTTCCAAGAACCTAAACCTAAACCAGAGAAGCTCCCAACCTTACAGTAAAATAGAATAGGGATATGATATCTGAACTGTGAGGCTCAGGGCCGTGAATGGAATCACATGACAAGAGAGGACAGATGTGTTGTTCTCCCTCCTACCCTCACCTCTTCTCTCTCCTCCCCATACAGTGACACTCCCTTCTAGACAATGCAATCAAGTGAGTACATAGTCTGCTTCAAGAAATTTAGGTTGGACTCAAGTTCATATTGGTGGAGTCCTATCGCTTCTCTTCTTTGACTCTAGAAAGAGACAAAGTAGCTGCATCTCAGAGAAGCACATAGTTAGCAGGAGAGCTAAAAAAGCAAAAAACAATGGTGGGACAGGCAGGACTCAGTATTATATAGCTAGGCTCCCTTTCCCCTAAATGTTTAGACTAAGAGAATAATCTAGACTGGATGAGCACCTACAGTCTCAAGTGAAATAAGGTGATGTTAATTCTCTAGAGGGAAATGTAGACTTCTCCCCACCAACAAATTTTCAAGGTGATTTTGAATCATTCATCTGAGGCATTGGGAACTGAGTGTGTGGACAAGTGATACTCCAGTGAGCTGCTGCATACAAATCAATAGGGGGCAATGAATAAATGTGAACCAGCTGGGGTTTTTGCACAACATAGAGAAAATCAAGGGATGAGCTTTTGCCCTGAAAATGAAGAGGCCTGTAGAAATTATAGGATTTAGGATTTTCAAAATCCATTTCCCCACATGATTTTTAAGGCTTTGAAATACTTTCAGAGCAAATGGAATCTATTGGAGGCAATTTAGGATTGAAAATCAAACTGCATCTTTACTTAAGTCCTTCTCCTCATTTCATAAATTCATATCAGAATGCCTTGGAATTTGAAAATAATAAATTTCAAATCACACCCAGATCGATAGTAAATATTTCCAATTCTAATATATCACCATTTTTATTAAGAGTTTTATTTTGAAGGCTCTTATTTTAGGCCTGTTAGTTTCTAAAGCAATTTAATTTTTTTTATTTGTAATCTAAAATTTATATCTAACTAGTAACAGATGTGATCAACTAGCTTTGGCTTGACTAGCTTTGTTGAGATTTATAGTAGGAGTTCTTTGTAAAGGATTGTTTTTCACCCATGTTATTCAATCATTTGGTGTAATAATTTATTACTTTTAACCCATTCAGAGAACTGTCTTTAATTTTTTTTCCTTTAAAGGAAACAAAACATGTTTACGGTTTCATAAAAAAGAACCAGCTGAGCTTTTGCTCTGAAGAGCTGGTTGACACTATGCCTAAAAAAGTAAGAAGCAGTCAATTGTTTGATTGAATTTCTCCTCCCCTTGCCCCCGCTAATGGTGTGGGGGAGAGGTGGAGGCCAGAGGATTCTGTGCAGGAGGGAGCAGCCTCAGAGTGCGTGGGTGCCTGCTGCAGCCAGCTGGTCGGTTGAGCGGGCTGTATATCAGAGATAAACTGATCAGTCCTCCTGGTGCTCAGTCAAGAGGTTTCTGGATTTCTCACTGGATTACTAAGTTTTAAGGAGAATCTCCTCACATGAAGTAGAATCTCTGAGTGTTGGGCCCAGAATATGCATCTTTAACAAGAGCCCCAGTATAATCTGGGGTGCACTGAGGTGTGAGAATAATATTTCCAAGGTATGAATAAGAGCTTCAAAAGTGTTTGGCAATGGGTACCTTTGAACATTGGGTACCCTAATTGGAAAATGAACACTTCTCATTCTGTTCAAGACCCAATGAACTTTCCCAAACGACCTTCGACCTCCAGGGACAACTGAGAAAATGCTGGAGGCTGCATTAGGGTCACTGCTTTCTTATCATCTGTCCTAAATAAGGACAGATACACCTGAAATATAAACTATGCTCTTTGGGCTGTATTCAGGGAAATCCTAAAAGTCCCTGGAGTCACCTATCCATGCATTGTAGACTTGATGGTGAGTGATCCACATGTGAATGTATGACATGCATGAGAGAAAGGGTCCTTTTCCAGATCCAGCTCTCCAAAGACCAGGGCTGCTGAAACCCTGATGTGGATGCAGCACAAAAGGCACACATCCCTTACCTTGTCCATGCTTGTGCTTGTTATTGATCACAATCTGCACAATGGTGCCTGAGGCTTGCTGGGAATCTAGAAGTGCTCCTCGGTGACTTCTGGCCCCAGGAAAGTGGGGCAGACTTCCAGACTGTCGGCTTGGTGGAGGATCATAGTGAGAGCGGTGGTAAGAATGTCTCTGTAAAATGACAAGGACAAATTCAGTCCCCTAAATCCATCAGTGAGAAGGAAAAAATGGCCTTACATAAATTAGAAGTCTATCTGATGATTTTTAGTGTTGAACTCTGATCTCAACTGGACGTCCACCCACACAAATAGCAAAATACGAGGTCAGACAATTAAGTTCACGGACACATCCTAGAAAAAATTCTACATACATAATTGCTGAATATTACTATGGTCACCTTCAAAGTACTCCCTTTGGGAAGCTATGCACCAATGCCAATGCTTAGTCCACCCCATTTTGGAACTCTTTTTCTGGAATGGCCATCAGCACTCTCATATTACTCTTGATGTCCTGAATGTCATCAAAATGTCTTCCTTTCAATATCTCCTTTAACTCCAAGTAAAGAAAGATGTCACTGGGCCAGGTCAGGTGAGTAGGGAGGGTGTTCCAATATAGTTATTTGTTTACTGGCTAACAACTCCCTAACAGACAGTGCTGTGTGAGTTGGTGAATTGTCGTATTGCAAGAGTCATGAATTGTTGGTGAAAAGTTCAGGTCGTCAAACTTTTTCATGCCACCTTTTCAGTACATCCAAATAGTAAACTTGGTTAACTGTTTTTCCAGTTTGTACAAATTCATAATGAATAATCCCTCTGATATCAAAAAAGGTTAGCAACACCATTGCAACAAGTTTGCGAACTTAATTGTCAGATCTCATAGGCATGTAAAATAAAGCAGCACAGGCAACATGCTGAGATTTTTCTCTCTTCTTGTAGAAGATTGGACTAGATTCACCTACAAACTTCCAAGTGAGTGAACAGCCAAAGGTTAAGTGTCCTTCTTGCTCCCAAGATCCTCACAATCAGGTTTAAGAGTTAAGATAGTATCTGGCAACACAAGGAAGGACGTGACAGAGGCCACAGGAGAAGTATAAAATGCTGTGCACATTCAGATAAGAAAGAGAACTTCTCGCTGGGAGCGGTGGAGGGGGGGATTGTGATCTGGACCATGAAGGGTGGATAGACTTTTTATGGGCAGAGTTGGTGAGGAATATTCCAGGCATAGGTTTATTAGTTGAGAAGCTACAGCAGAGAACATAGAGTCCATAAAAGGGAACAACTGAAGGATAACATTCCAAAAGTAGGTTGGAGGCAGATAGTGGAGGATACTAAATGACAGTCTAAGGTGTGAGACTTTATTTAGTAGGTAACAGAGGTAAAGATGTAGAAGCCTTTGAGGTGTGTTTTTAAAGGTTGGCAATAATCAAAACAGTGTTTGAACCCTAATAATGCATAGGGTGAACTGGATAGGAGGGAGAGACAGGAGTCAGGTACAGTTCAGATACATGTACTGAGATTCTAAACACAGGCAATGGCATGAGATCATAAATCAGGGCACAGACACCACAGACATTTCATAGAAGAACTGACAGTGCATGACAGTATTAGAATGTCAGCTCCACAGAGGTGAGGACTTTGTTTTGTTTACTGCTGTATCTCCAGTGCCTAAAACAGCATTTAGCATATAGAAAGGTGCTCATCAAAAACTTGAAAGAATGAATGAAAGTTGTGGTCCCTAATGAAAGCTTAGTATCCTATCATACAAATAATATAATCACTGCTCTTTCAGCAAGGGGTTAAGACATATGATGAGCCCACTATTCTGCTACCCACCCCTGTTCCAGGAGCTGAGGTATAGTGAAGATAAGATTAGGATGGAATGAATGAAGAGTAGAATCTAAGGCTTCAAGCCAAATAACACTGTGTTTTAGAGGCAATTGTTAGGGGTAAAGGAGGGGGGACCCAATAAAAAATCTTTTGCAGGCAATGGAAAAGGAAGATCCTTATATTCAGTGATAGAAATAGCAGGGAACTTTGAGAAGGTAGTTATGGGGTCCCCTTACCCCACCATCCCATAAAACATTTAATACAGTTATGTTCCATATACACACATGTTGCAAATTTAGCTTTGGGAATTATTATTTCTCTCTTGGGGGGAGGTGGTCTTTGGTGGGAGGAGAGAGCAAACAGGAGCTGGACTAGTAGAGAGAGAACATTATTCCCTCTAAGAAGAGCCCATGCTGGTGCATTGCTATAAAAACACACATAAATAAGAATTTGCATTCATGTATTATCATGCACACAGATGGGATTCTCAGTGCAAATAGTTTCCATTCCCACAATGGCTCATATCTCTTTTTCAGCCATAATCTCTAACATTCCACAAAGGCAATTACAGATTGTTCTGTCCTTTTGGGAGTTTGGCAAAGTTTTGCCAAAGAAACACAGAAAGGACAGTTTGGCTGGTGTATGTCCTACTGATGCTAAAAGGAGGGAGTTCAACAGGGCTAGAATTTGAGATGGAAGGCGACTGACCCAGGAAAAACTACAAGCACAAGAAGTGCCCTGATTTATGAGGGTGAGTACAAAATGAAAATCTGTTCTTTGGTACCAGAGACTCAGACCTTGAACATAGGATAAGGGTAGAAAAATGTTTCAAGATAAAACAAAAAACTCAGGGATTTTGATCAGAGACCAGTCATCCCCCCAGAACCTCATCATATGTAAGTCTTTTGTTTTACAGACAGAGAAACTGAGGCCAGGGAGAAGAGGTGACAATGAAGAGTGACAATGAAGGTTAAGTTTTTGGAGCTGACAGGAGAGAGAGAGAGTGTGGGGATTTTTAACAGGAGAATCAAGAGGAAGAAGAGGAGGAGAAAGTGGGAGAGATAATGTCTGGTCAAGCTCAGTGGTCCACAAATATTTGGCTAAAAGTGGCTCCAAAGAAAAGTTCTTATAGAACCATGCTACAGTGTTCACAACCACATATGCCACGGGACTCCACCATGGCTGCACATGGAATCACCTGAGGAGCTGTAAAAATACCGATGCCTGGGTTCCACCCCCATGGAGTCTGATGGAATGTGTCTGGGGGGAGGCTTGGCATCAGGATTTTCATATACCCCTCACTGGACTCTAATTTGAAGCCGAGGTTGAGAATTGCTGACATAAAGGATCTTCTGTTTCAGCCTGGGAGTGCAGGTGGTGATATGTGATTTATGTTTTTATTAGTTTCAGGTGTATAAAACAATGTAATAGCTAGAAATTTAAACCCCTCACAAAGTGATAACCCCCTCCCCAATCTACTACCCCTCTGATAGCATATACAGCTGTTACAATTCCATTGATACTATTCCCTATGATATAATCTATATCCTATGACTACAAGGTCTGGCAATTATGTTCAAGAACTCATCCTAGAAAAAGTGCTGCATACCTCATTGCTGAATGTCACTATGGTCACCTTTGAAGTACTCATCTTGGGAAGCTATGCACTGATGCCCGTGTCTAGTCCATCCTTCAAAGCAACTTTGGAACTATTTTTCTGGAATGGCCATCAGAGCTGTCATTGTATTACTCTTGATGCCATGAATGTCATCAAAATGTCTTCCTTTCAACGTTTCCTTTATCTTTGGGTAAAGAAAGAAGTCATCGGGGGCCAGATCAGGTGAGTAGGGAGGGTGTTCCAATACAGTTATTTGTTTACTGGCTCAAACCTCCGTCACAGACAGTGACATGTGAGCTGGTGCATTGTCATGATGCAAGAGCCATCATCAATTGTTGGTGAAAAGTTCAGATTGTCTGTCATAATGAATAATCCCTCAGATATCTAAAAAATGTTAGCAACATCGTTGCAACAAATTCTCAAACTTAATTGTCAAACCTCATATACATATATATGTATACATATATATTTAGTTATAGTTGACATTCAATATTATTCAGCTTAAAGTTGATATGTGATTTTGATTTAAGAGTAATGGCTTTTTTTTGAGGAACCTCCATACTGTTTTGCAAAGTGGCTGCACCAATCTGCAATCCCACTAACAACTTTATGACCCAGCAATTCCACTCCAAGGTATCTATCCAGAGAAATCCAAAACACTAATTCAAAATAATATATGCACCCCTATGTTCACTGCAGCACTATTCACAATAGCCAAGATATAGAAACAACCAAAATGCCCATCGATAGATTATTGGCTAAAGAAACTGGTATATTTATAGAATGGAGTATTACCCAGCCATAAAAAAGAATGAAATCTTACCATTTGCAAAAACATGGGTGGACCTAGAGAACATTATGCTAAGTGAAATAAGTCAGACTGAGAAAGACAAATACCATATGATCTCACTTATATGTGGAATGTAAAGAACAGAATAAATGAGCAAACAAAACAGAAACAGACTCAGAAATACAGAAGAAACTGATGGTTGCTAGATGGGAGGGAGTGGGGATGGGGAGAAGGTGAAGGGATTAGAAAGTACAAGTTAGTAGTCACAATATAGTCACAGTGATATGAAATACAGTATGGGGAATATAATCAATAATGTTGTAAAGATTATGTAGGGTGCCAGATGGGCACTGGACTTATCAGGGGATCACTTTATGGACTGTGTAGATGCCTGACCACTGTGCTACACACCTGAAGCTGAAGAGGAATAATATTGAATTTCAACTATAATAAACAGATGTTATGTTATGCTCAAGCAGTAGTTCACCATAATTGGAAGTGTCTGGATGCTGATGGAAACAACTTTAAGCACCTCTTGTAATTGCAGAAGTCAAACGTGACTTGTATTCATCTTTTGTTATCGGTATATATTATTACAATTTTAATAGGTTTTTCCTTTCTTAAAATGTGTATACATTTTTGGCACCCTCTGTATATAGTCACAGGAGTTAAAGTACAGCATAAGGTATATAATTAATGGTATTGTAACAGCTACATACGATGTCAGAGGGGTAGTAGATTATGGGATGATTATCACTTTGTGAGGGGTGTAAATGTCTAACTGTTATGTTACTTTGTACACCTGAAACTAACAAAAAAAAAGAGTAATGGCTCTTTTAGAATCATCCACCTAAACAAATAAAAGAGGCTTACCAGGGGCCATTCTGACCTTGTAACTTAAAGCAAAGGAGAAAAAGGCATTAACACCTTAGAGTTGTAAGTGAAATTGGAATTTATCTGAAAAACCAGCTATGAGTAGGCTGCTTGAGAGAGCAGCTCAAAATGGACAAAAAACCAAATGACTTCACTCATATGTGAAACAGTAACAAACAAATAAAACAAAACAAACTCATAGACAGACAACAGAATGGTGGTTACCAGAGGAGAAGGGAAATGGCATGAGAGTGAATGGGTAAAGGGGGTCAAATACATGATGATGGGTGGAAACTACACTTTTGGTAGTGAACACGCTATAATCTATACAGATATCTAATTATAATATTGTATACCTGAAATTTATATAATGTTTTTTTACCAATGTTACCTCAATTAAAAACAAAAACAAAAACTAGTTAGGTAGAAATGACCATATATCTATGCCGTGTTTTATTCTGCTCGATATTTTGGTATTATTTAATTTACTGACTTGAAGGACTGATAAATATTTGACACTTTTCAAGTGACTCTTACACAGTTCCTTTCTAGTGTTGCAAAATCCCCACCATTATACAATAGCAGTTCCCCAGGAATTTCTTCCTCACTTGTTCTAAGGTCTAGGATATAAGGGTTTTAGTAGCAGAGACAGGAAAGTTCTGAAAGTTCAGAGAGGGCCTTCAAAATGCCTTCATGGTTCTGAACTTGTACCAGAACTTCACAAGGTGTTATCATTGGGGGAAACTGGGTAAAGGGCACATGTAATCTCTGTATTATCTCTTACAATTGTAAGTGAACCTAGTTATCACAAAATACAAAGTTTAATTAAAAAAGTATTCAGATGTGTTCTAATCCACACAGCCATGAGCATAGTATATTTTCATCACTTGTAACCAGAACTATCCCTTTCTGGGAGACACTTAGGCCAATTTCCTTCCCAAACCATTGTTCTGCCAATGTGAATGAGACATGGATTTTTTTAATTTTTCATATTGTTTCTATCCCAAACTCTCGCTTTTCTAATGGTAAAACTCTGAGTAATCTACTGGGGGCAAATCAGAGTTTGGCTGTTGTCCAAAGCAAAATTATGCTTGCTTTCATGTTTTGGCTTTCCATCCTATACCCACTTTTACACACACACACAACACACACATTCCCCCTGATGGTACTAGGACCAATTCATGTGAACTTATGATCCAGAAATAAAACAGAATCTATTACAGGATTTTACAAAGGAGTCATAGTTGAACTACTGTGTACTTCATAAAACTTGGTAAACTGATGGTTTTCAACCCACTTGGCAAAATAAACCAACCAGCTGTGTTTCTGTTGAACTGAGTTTTGAGGGCTCCCTCTAAATGTGAATAGTCTACTACAAAGACAATCTACTGAATTGAGAATGTGTTGTTAAGTTTGCCTTTTTTTCTCCCTTGCAGAAAGTTAGGCTGCAAATGACATTCAGAAGGGATTCTCCTACCTTGTAGTTTTTGGCTAGTTGCGAAAAGACAACAAGTTTGAAGAATTTCTTTTTTATTTGGGACAAATTCTTATGCATTAACATTAATGAAAAGCTCCCCCTGCCCCTAACACACATTTCATTCAATCCCCCACACCCATTCTTCAACACATTTATTGGGTGCCTACTATGTGCCAGGTACATATTTTCCATTACTACAGATGTTATTTATTATTCAAGGCATATCACAAATATCTATCCATTTTAGAACAAAGGAAAATATTTATTTATAATAAAGTGGAACCATCTGGACATTTTGGTCTACCAGGCACAAATGTTTGTTTCTAGATAGGTCTTGGACTCCTTTGAAAATCAATAACTAGTTCAAGCCCTGCATTCTGTACCTTACCTTTTTGCTACAGGAAGTACTGGATTAAGTCTAAGCCTATCACCAGCATTTCAGGAAGGACAATGAGGCTGAAAGACATGGAATGGATTTGGGAGCAGCATAAGACCACGTAAAGAAGAAAGGTTAATGAATGGTCTTACCAGCAGGAGTGTTGAGGTGGTCACAGTGCTTAGTGTTAGGAGCTGAGGCACCCAGCCAAAGAAAAACATGCAGCATAAGATGACTGAGACCCAAATTTGTTTTAGAATGGCATCTGGTTGACAACCACTAATTTAACCACTCTCAACTGCATACCACAATAAAAAAATTGGGGCTGAGAGAAAAAGGAAATTCACAACACAGAAAATGGAGACTGAGGGTGTTGGCAAGCTGGGGGCATGCAAGTCAGAAGGGGCACATGTGATGACTGGGAAGCAAGGCCTAAGCAGCACTGTGATGTTTGTATTGGTAATTTTATTGTGTCCCTTGTCAACACTTTCCTCACATCCTCACTATAGGTCTGCCCTCTAATTCCCTAGACTCTTGCCTTATCCAATGCATGTTGAGAACGAATTCCTAAGGTTTTAGAAAATAATTTAAATGATATTTATGACAAATCTAATTCATGCTCATGCAAAACATAAAATAATATAAAAGATACAAAGTAAAAAGTCAAAGTCGACCTTTCTTCCTACTCACTTCGACCCCTCTGAGACTACCACTCTTAACATGTTGGTATGTGACCTTCAAGATCTTTTCATATGCAATTACATTCATGCATACAGATAATTTTTACATAAGGATATTGCAGTATGAATTGTACCTGAACCTCATTTTGTTTACATAATATATCTTGGAGATCCCTCCACTTTACTACATTTCCATGTATTATATTCTTTTTAACACCTGCACAGTATCCCATAGATGGAGTGTGTTTAACTAAGCCCCTATTGATAACATACTTAAGTTGTCTCTATTTGTTATTTTCTTATGAAAAGCATGCTGTATTGAATGCCCCTGTGCAATTTTTTTGTACTAGGGTGGATGCATGTTCATTTATGTGTAATGAATGCCTTTGTACCTTTTTTGTACACTTTTATAAGCTATTTAATATGATAAATTATTTGAACTGAAACAGATCCTTTTCAGATTTAAAGAAGTTTCAAGTGTTGCTGTAGTGAAACATATATATTTTTAAAGAGGGATTCTATTTTGTTAATTATGTCAAAATACAAAGGGACAAGAGATACTCTTACTGTATGTAGAGAGATGCCTACTTGTAAGGCTTATTCTAAGATTAGCACTGAGAATGGAAGTGAAAAGATGTTTCAGGATGAGGAAGGAGAATATGTCCTGCCATCTTTCCTCTCTTCCAGTGGTATGAGTGAGAGCTTAAGGCTTAGGGGAAGGTTTGGGTGGACATGTCCAAAGTATTTCTGCCAAAAGTATGGACTGACCTACTATAAAATACTACAGAGGATCGTCACTGTTGAGAATAGAGGTACTGCCCTGTCTTTCTTACAGAAGACAAAGATTTGGCAAGTAATCCTGAAAGGGAAACAACTTCTGATATCTAGATGAAGAGTTCCCAAGAACTGGGGCTACGGTTTCTTTGTATTCATGTCTTGGCCCTGGTTACCAATTACACAGTACACTCAAGTGGTTGCAGGTTGGTGATGATGACACTTAAATTTCTGAGGAAAGGAAAGAGAAATGGTGTTAGAAATGGGCCCTTTCATGGAGTTGCTGGGATAGTAGCCATGGAGAGAGGAAAGTTTGGCCTGATGCTGTGAGTATTGAATTATTTCAGCTAAATACACTTACCGCTTCTCTGTTGGCAGGTTGCCGGAAGATATCACCATCAGAATGTTCCCATGACAATTCTCCATCTCCTGCTTATTAAAAAGAAATAAAGAAAGAATAATACATACATAGAAGGGAAAAATATCACCCTTGTGACCCACTAACATTTTTGGTTTTATGATCCCAAAGTTCTCCAGACATTTAGCTATTCTTCAAAAAAGCAACACTCAAGGATATCTGTCTGGGTGAGCCTCATTTTTCAAAACAACTCTGAAGAAATTTACTACTTTCTAAAACAGACCATCAAGCAATATTACCCATAATTTGGAAAATAAAAGGAAAAATAATCACTTTCCATTTTAATATAACCATCAATGTCACTTTTGCTTATCTTATTCCAGTGAGAGTGAAGTATTTTCAGGGCATATTTAACTTGTGTTTAAACTACCCTTAAAAAATGAGAGCTTTGATAATTTGGTTTGTCATGATTTGTTAAATTCACCATTATATCTCTGATAAGTTATGATATGGTCTGAAAGTTAAGGTAAAACTTGCTAAGGTTGGAGTGCTTACATAACCAATATCCAAGATATTATTCTCTCTCTCTCTCTCTCTCTCTCTCTCTCTCTCTCTCTCTTTCTCTCTCTCTCTCTCGCTTGAGACAGCTTTCTCAAGGTCTATATGTTACTCTTTGAAGTGCCAGCCCCTGTCATTGCTGTCTTCCAGAGAAACTTCCTTTAGGAGGAAGATTCTACTTTCAGCCTGAAGAGCAGCAAACATACAACAGACATGAATAATCCTCAGCTGACTAAAGATAAAAAACTAGAAGATCATTTCCAAGAATATTATCTATGACAAAGCAAGCAGATGGAAGAATCTTGGTCTTAGAGATGTTTGTACCACTCTAAATGAGTACTATTTATGTGTGTGTGAATGTGTGTGTGTGTGTGTGTACATGTGTAGAGATAGAGATAAACAGATAGATCTGTTTATCTGTATATCTGGCCATGGATAAATCTAATATCGATTCAACCATATATTTCAGAGGATAGCAAGAAATACATATATATATATATATATATATGCACAAAAAATTTTCAATTCTAATTCATTGTCCAAGCTTTCAAAACCTAAGTCTAAATGGTAATATGTTACTTCTTCAAGTGTGTGGTAGTACTGTTAGAAAAAACTGTGTAATATCATTGGCTTTTAGGACTTGAAAAATACCTCAAAATTAGTTTGATAGCAATATTATAATCAGACAGTGACATATCACAAAGTTTGGCTTTAACCGTTCATTATTTAGAGATCATCTTATGGAAAAAATTATGAATTTTGAAGATTTAACTCTGGTTGCTATGTTAATTTTACTAAAACACCACTTTGACTGTATAATTGTCACATTCCCTGATCAAAGCCCTCAGTGGGTTACCAACCAACACTCTCTATAATTAGACCCAACCTCATCTATATTGAGCACTTACGTCCCACCCAACTATCTCAGCTACACTACAATGCGACCCCTTTGACCTCCTTGTTCTTCATTGAACACACGGCTCTAATTCTTCCTTCCATGCTTTTGTTCATGTTAATCTTCTGAAATTTCCTTCCTACCTTCCACACCCCATAGCTTCGTTATGCCTATGAAAACCATTAAGATTTTTCCTCCTCTACAAAGTCTTCCTCAAGCACTCTTAACATATTTCTGATTGTCTGAAGGACTTAGCACCCTGTAGCCTTAGAGATGTATAGGAGTACAAGCATAACTTTGTCCAACTGCTCCATTTAACAGATGGGGAAACCAAGGCTCAGAGAGGCAGAGTAGCAGCCATTCATCACATAATGAGTTTGTGAGAGTTCACACCAAAACCCCAGATTTCTTGGCTCCCAAATAAGTGCATCTATTCTATAAGGGCAGAGTTATTGTGTTATTTATGGTTGTATCATCATCATTTATAACAATGCCTGACATATAGTATTCACTCAATAAGTACTTGTCAAATGATGGAATTGGGAGGTTTTATTTGACCATCTATCTAAATTTCAACCTCTCTCTGATATTTCTTATCCCTCCTCTTTTTCTTTTTAGTACTTAATGCTATCTTACATTTTATATATTTTATTGATTTTGTTTATTGTCTGATTTCTCCCACTAGAATTGCCCTATGAGATAAGGCTTAAAACAAGAACAAGGATTTTTATCTATCACGTTCACTGATGTAACCCCAGAACCTAGAACAGCTTTGGGCACACATCGTTAGTACTCATTCAATATTTCTTGAATGAATGAATACTAAAACACTGTATAATATTTTCTGCTGCTAAATGTTACCTGAGCCTGTCTAACCTCCCTGAAGAGTTTGAAATCAGAGACCATGTATTAATTCCCCCTCTATATTATCTAGATCAGTGGTTCTCCAGGTGTGGTCTCTGTACCAGCAGCACAAGCAGCATTACCTGGGAACTTGTCAGAAATGCAAAATTTTGGAACCCACACCAGACCTACAAAGTCAGAAACTCTGAGTGTGGTCAGTGATCTGGATTTTGACAAGCCCTCCCAACAGTTCTGATGCATCCATGAGTTTGAAAATAACTGGGCGGGAGCACTTAGCATTTTCTTGGGTATACATCAGGTGCTCACTATATGTAATGAATTGAGCTGCAGTCACAAACTACAGAATTAAGTGTTTGGCCAATAGTATACTTGCCTCTTCCTGGTTATTCCACATCTGAGTAAAGATCGTAGACTAAGACTACATGCAGACTATGTGGAAACCCTGACTGACCTTGTAACAGTGATGATGATTTCACCTTTGTTTATGTCTAGAAAATAATGCCCAAAGGTCAGTTAACATACATTGAATGCTTCCTGGGTGGAGAGCATGATATTAAGGCAGGAGGAAGAGAGAAATCAGACTGGGCTTTGCCCTCAAGACATTTACAACCTGTTTAGAGGTGATAGGAAATCAATATAGTAAACAACATGAAAACATACACACAGAGTAACAACTGGAAATATAAGTGGAATACACATGCTTAGGGGACATTGAATAGATAAAGTGAGCAATCAGATATAATTGTGGAAAGGTTCCCAAAATAATTTTTAAGTCATGTTTTTAGAACTAGATACCACAGGGAATAAACAGATAGTGATGTGGGCAGGGGTATCTCCATCAAAGGAAAAGGCATTTGCAAACGACCAGCGCTCTGGAAATAGCAAGTCATGCACTAGTGACAACAAGCAGTATTGCTTGAATAGAAACTTCAGCTGTAAAACCAGTTAAATAAGGCTGGTGAAAAGAGAGAAAAGGAGAGGGAGGGTGACACATGAGGGAGGGAGGGAGAAGGAAAGATTGTTGAGGTAAATATCGGTGGTAAATAATTGCTGCATGAACTTGAAAATGAGGCTGAATAATTCACATTTGTTCCTATTACCGATTTTTTGTAGAGGCTCCTATGGTAAAAATAGTATTTGTGGAAGCTTATACTGGCAATGGAGTATTGGCTACTTAAGGAGCTACTGGAATCTGGGAGTCCAAACAGGGGGGTATTGTAGTAATAAGCGATAAAACATGAGAATCTATAAAATAATGGAAAAGAAGGGGTGAATCAGATTACTATACATAAAAAGGAACCGAAAAGATCCCAGTGGAAGATTTGCTTATGGAGGAGGAAGGCAAAGGATAAAACAGTATAAAATGACTCTAGGCAGCGGTTCTCAACCTGTGGGTCATTACCCCTTTGGGGGTCGAACAACCCTTTCACAGGGGTCGCCTAAGACCATCGGAAAACAAAAAGATATTTACATTACAATTCATAACAGTAGCAAAATTACAGTTGTAGAGCAGCAACAAAAATAATTTTATGGTTGGGGGTCACCACAACATGAGGAACTGTATTAAGGGGTTGCGGCCTTAGCAAGGTTGAGAACCGCTGCTCTAGGGTCTCAAATCTGGAGAGCTGGGGGATGGCACTGCCCTTGACAGTGACTGAATGGGGATGAACTTGGATTTACTTGTTTTAGTTGGCAATGGTGCATCTAAGCTATGTCCTGAGCCAAATGAAAATATAGGATCAGAGAGAAGACTTGAAAAGATTCACTGGCAAATGGTAAAACAATATGTAAAAGCTATAGGATATGGTTTCAAGCTTAATCTAAACAGCCAACAGAGAACAAATTACAAAAGAAAAAAAATAGCTCTCCTCATCAAATGCCTTTTTAAAATGTAGATTTAATGACTGGTATTGATATGAAATGTTTACTCAGCATGGCCTTCTGAGAAGTTCAATTTATTCCATTTAGACCCTAGAGTCTTAATACGGCTTTTAAATGGTCTTTAAATACTTATAGCCCAGTCGGACTCTCAAAGCAATATAGAAACATATAATCCCTTTTAATGAGCAGAGAGGTAAGATGGCAAAGCAATGAGGCAAGTAGGTATCAAGCATGAGAGCAGACTATTAATACCCTGTAACACAAGTTCAGATGAATGTGTCACAGTCACCTAAGCATTTGCAGACAGGCATGTGTACCTAAATTTGAACTATTTTGCTTTGTTAAAAACTACTGGAACCATTACTTCTGTATATATATTCTCAAGTAGGAACTACTAGTATTTTCGTTGCCTTTGAGCTTTAAAAGTCATCAAAATGGCATTCTCTAAGTTGAAATATTCTATAAGTAGCTGCAAAAAGTTTCATTTTAGTTGTTCTATTTAATTTGAACCATAGTTAAACTGGAATTATCTTCTTAGATGTTCACATTTTGTACATCTATAAGTGGTTCTCTAGACCTCGGCAGGATCTGTCTGGACAGCTGAAAATAGATTCATCTGTTTACAATCTTAGACGTTATACCTTAGATATAAAACTTAGATATATCTAAGAGATAAAATACATAAAAGGAAAAGAGTAGGCATTGATGGCCTAAAAATCCTGTTTCTTTGATTTTTTTTCTCCCCACTGATTCACTGGACAAATTATCTTGAGTGAGAGAGAGACTCTTTTTCAGCCAAGGCTTTAAAAAACAAAACAAAACAAAAACAATGATTCTAATGGAGACAGATGGACTCTAGTTAATTCCAAGAAGCAA